GCCGGACACGAAGGCAAAGTTTGTCCACGAAGGCAGCTTCGTCTCGGACGAAAAAAGCAGGGCCTTTGGTCAACTTACGTCAGCTTTATTGCCCCCGGAGAAACCCGCCCCGGAGGTAAAATGAATGGCGAGAAGGGACGCTACTGTCGGATAAAAAAAAATAAAAAAAGCGACGGAGACAGAGGCACAGTGTGTCCGCGAAGGCGGCTACATCTCGGAAGAAAAAAAGCAGGGCCTTTGTACAGCTAACATCACTGTTACCACCACCGAAGTAGCCCGCCCAGAGGCAAAATGCGTGGCGACAGCTCTGGTGGGATAAAAAAAAAAAAATAGCGCCAGACAATAAGGCATAGTGTTTCTGCGAAGGCGGCTTTGTCTCGGACGCAAAAAGCAGGCCCTTTGCAACTACGTCAGCGTTATTGTATTAAAGGCTCAGAGACATTGACATTGATGAAGTATTTTAAGTTGCCTTGTGTTACCATGCTGCCTCCTGTTGTGCGATTGTTCAACTGCATGTGAGCACATAATCCCCACTTCTCCCCCCCATATCAGGCAAATGCTAATCGTCATTATTAGCGCCCTTCTATGGCAAGCCATTTGAGCATTTATTCCAAATTGTTTCCTGCGCATGCGCAGTTTAGTAGTCAGGAAGAGCGCTCAGGTTCATGGAGTCGTGGTGTCCTCGCACAAGGTCGTTCGATTAAGTTCGTAAATTGGCAGAGTTCATGACCAAAAAACTGCACTTCTGCCTTCCTTTGCACCGCCGAAGTAGCTCGCCGCGGAGGCTAAATGCATGGCGGCAGCAGACGCTATGTCAGACAAAAAAAAAAAAAAACTTGCCCCTGCCTTCCACCCCATCACCTACAATCTGTCTCCCATCTCCCAAACCTGCCTTCTACCACCTATTAAAAGCCTTACCTCAATATCCCTGCCTCCTGTAAACTAAACGATACACCATCCTGTACCCTATATACCCCCAAACTGATCCAGCCCAACAGTTATTACCCCCGGAGAAACCCGCCCCTGAGGTAAAATGCGTGGCGACAACGGGCGCTCCGGTCGGATGAAAAAAAAAAAAAAGCGCCGGAGACAGAGGCAAAGTGTGTCCACGAAGGCGGCTACGTCTCGGATGAAAAAAGCAGGGCCTTTGGCCAACTTACGTCAGCGTTATTACCCCCTGAGAAACCCGCCCCGGAGGTAAAATGCGTCGCAACAACGGACGCTCCGGTCGGATAAAAAAAAAAAAAAAGCGCCGGACCCAGAGGCAAAGTGTGTCCGGGAAGGGGGCTACGTCTCGGACGAAAAAAGCAGGGCCTTTGGTCAACTTACGTCAGCGTTATTACCCCCTGAGAAACCCGCCCCGGAGGTAAAATGCGTCGCAACAACGGACGCTCCGGTCGGATAAAAAAAAAAAGAAAAAGCGCCGGAGACAGAGGCAACGTGTGTCCGCGAAGGCGGCTCCGTCTCGGATGAAAAAAGCAGGGCCTTTGGACAGCTAACGTCAGTGTTTGTACCGCCGAAGTAGCTCGCCGCGGAGGCCAGTTGCGTTCAGCACTCGCTTCAAATGTCTTTCGCTTATTTGGAAACCGTATTTAACATCAAGAACAGATTTAATGTCTTCGTATTTCAAGCCAATTTCAAAGTAAATTTCTATTAAACTCACGAACAGTTGAACACACGCCATGATTTTTGTTTTCGGTTACACGTACGATGACCAGGAAGCACATCAACGAACATTAAAAAATAAATAAATAAATGAAAAAAGATTGCAAGATCTCGCAATACTTAGCATTACTTTGCGAGATCTCGCAAACTTTTTTTTTTCCTTCCGTGTCCCCTTAGGGCAGGGGTGTCAAAGTCAAATGGACGGAGGGCCAGATAAAAAAAATTGCTACAAGCCGAGGGCCGGACTGATCGAATGTTCATTGAAAATTTTAAAAATGACCACATATTGTTTATTGAACCAAATTTAATTGACTGAAAACCTAACAAATTCATTCCAATATGGTCAGATAAATAAAGCAACATTTTTTTATGGCTATGTCAGTAAACTTTAATTTTCAATAGGCACAAAAAATTTTCCTTTGTATAAAAATACCCATAACATGAATGAAAGAAGCCGATATTATTCAAGGCACTATCAATAGTCCATATTTTCTCTTTTAGCAAAAGTAGGCTAAATTTACTTAAAAGAAAAACAAATAATAGTACAGTAATTTTCGATCATTTACTCGAAACAAATATTTTTAAAACATAATTGGATTGAAATACAACAAAATAAAGTGCAAAAATGTATAAACCAAAGACAACACTTTCTTCAAGGAGAAGTAACAAGCAGCGAAAGCAAATATTATACTTTAATTTTTAAACTTGAACTGAGTAAAAACTCTTAATATGTGATTGCACAGTATATTATAAGTAATATTCACATCTTTGAGGCTGAGGCTGATACTCGGTGGTGTCTTAACTTTTCTACAAGTTCATCAATATTTGGGGTCAGGCTCTGAGCTGAGCAAATCCTCAAAATTGAGTGAGGGTGTTCAGCAGTAAATCGACTTCTGTGTGATGTTTTGTTCAGCTTCATCAAAGAAAATAG